GGGACTACCATGTTCTTGACAGGAAGGAATTTCCACGCAGCTAGTAGACAGGCAGCCCACTCTGCAATGAGGAAATATTGTGTGTTGGATGACTCAGGAAGAGAGGACTCATCAAAAATGAGTAGAGATCCCTGACAGAGAGCTGAAGTTTAACTATGGATTGACACAGAGTTTATGTGGGGAGGGGGCTACTTGGCCTGTGATCACCAGGTCCTTCTGATGTCGGGCAGCAGACAAGTCTCAGGGCTGTGGATGCTAAAGCAGTCAGGGTGAGTTTCACAGCGGAGGACCTACATCATGGCTGCAGACTGCCAGGGAACAAGCAGCAGCAAGGCCTCCAGCCTTCAGCCCAGGACTTCCAGCAGGGTGTTGGCAGTGGGGCTCACTTCACACAACTCTATGTGGTTGAGTCCCTGGTGATGGCGGTCTTGTTCTCTATGGAGCCTTGCTTGAATGGACCATCTGATCCATGCTGGAGAACATGTCATCAAGGGCTCCTGAATTTTTACATGGATTCCCATGTTTGGAAAGCCAGGTTGAGGGTTGGGAAGGAGTTCATTCTGGAGTCGTGAATGTGGGCACTCTTTTGTTCGCTTAGTCCTCCCTGGAGTCTCAAGGAACATAGCTTCTGGTCACTGTTTGATTTAGACCTTGGTGACTCTTAGGATAATATTTGAACCAGAACTGAACAGGACATTTCATTTGCATAGCTGTGTGTCCTGAGACTAAATTGTGAACTGGGAAAAGACAGTGACAGATGTAAAGATGGTAGCAACATGTGGACAGGTACGTGTGGATAATATTATTGGAACAATCAGGCCCTCTTGTGTTTTCTGTCAAAAATTCATGACAATTTCTTGTGAAATAATCTTTATGTACAATGTGAAGTACTGTCTAACTGAATGGTTTAATAAAAAGCTAATGGCCAATAGCTAGGCACAATTTTCAGGACTTAGAGGATGCTGGAAAGAAGATGGATGCACGATGGACTTACCAGTCAGACAAGGAGGACGCATGACTCGTAGGATATGCGGTAACAAATTACATGCCCTGTGCCTGGTTGTGTCTGACTGTTAATTTGGGTTTACAATGAAGATCTGAAGGGGGTAATTCTCCACTTGGCATCCTTTCTAGGTATGAGCTCTCGGCAGCTCTTAATCTACAAAGCTTGCATTCGTCACTGCCCGTTTCTACAAAGTCCAGCTCCAATGATTCTTAGAAGGCTTGCAACCACCAATAGTTTCTACTATACTAATTGCTGCACCGGCTTGTTTTGCAATGATGGAGGACCTACTAATATAGAGAGGGACTTGCTACCCCCTCGTGTGTTTGAGGAAGATGTAATTGCAAGAGCTGTGCATCTGGGGCAATTCAACCTTCTCCTCAGCCTTGTCTTAATCCTCTCCAGCAGCATACCAACCTGAGAAAGCCTCCTTGGTCTGTACTTACCTTCCCACAGCTGTAAGCAACTTTGCTCTTTGTTGTCCTTGTTAAGCAGAGATAGTGTTCAGGGTTCTGTTGGGCCCATTCATAGCTTGTTGTAAGAAAGAAATAAAGATTTGTGTGTTGAAAATACCCCTGGCCATTGTTTTTTGCTATATAGGACTATTCAGCCTGGGATCTCTACTCAGAGCAGCTCCTTCCTCTTCTATATCCTTAAGAGTTCCTTCATGGGATCATAGTTTGACAGCTTGGTACCCTTTAAACACTGTAGTCTAAATAACCATCTCACTAGGTAGGTCCAAGGCACTGGACAGCCTTGGTATATGAGTGTTTTGAAGAAAAGACAGAAGTGTTCTGATGTCAGTCAGTATGTAGGCTGTTAAGTCAGGTCCCAGCTAAGTAGCTGTTCTATAAACTTTCAGAGGTTACATTTAAAGTTTACTAGAATTAACACAGGTATGAAGAGTACAATGCTCACGAATAATGCTATGTTTATCAGACCACCATTGTACAGACATTTTCAGTAACAAAGCACACATGCTACAAAGATGCCACCTGATTTCAGACAAATTGGACTTATCATCATTGGTGCTTACCTTTCATTCCCAGGCTCTAAGCGTTCAGAAGACACTTGCTTATTTACACAAGTTACTCTGAACTGAACTGCCAAATTGCAGGAGAGGACCTGACATGCAGCTTCATGTCATTGAATAGATTCATTAACAGGAAAACCGGTTTTAGCAACTCCATTTGAAGTATATCTGTGCCATCTCAATTCTGAGTGAGAATATTTTCCTTGAGGGAAGCCTTACAGGCTGCAATCAACGATGTCTTCTTCACGAGAGATCTTAGTAAGTGCTCTGGGGGTTTAACTCTTACATTGTTGCCAGTGTGCCCAGTCAGATTCCTTGTTGGTAACTGACACTTGCAAAATGGCAGATTTGTAGAACTAGTAGCATCAATCTCCTGTCCTCTAAAAGCAGATGTACGAAGCATATAAAACTTATTATGATAATCCTGGGTAGACTCAACTGCAGGTCACAACATGCCAAAAATTATGTTTAGACTTTGAATTCCTATACCCATCGAAATAGGAATTCCTTGTACTCCCACAGAATAATTTATAATTTTCTTACCCTCCTCCATAGGCTCAACAGGTTCTTGTTTGTCCTAAGGACCAGGTAACCAAGAAAATTCATAAAGTACCACAAGGATATCCATATTTCTCCAACTTACTCCCATGTTAATTGGAGGATTAGGGTTATAGGCCCAATATGTATGGTTAGTACCCATAACCTGTGCTGTTACCACAGACACCATAGCAAGGAACAAAGTCCCATTAAAAATTCCTCAGCAATGCAAGTTGAACTATTGTGTCCCTTTGTCACACAAATGCATAAGTTGTCCCCAGGTGGGAGGATCAGCCATTCATTTTAAAGGCTTTTGCATCTCTTCTTTCCCAGAGTCATGTCACCCATATCAGAGACTTCTCTTGCTCATGTCAGATTTTGTCAGTTTTTATGATATCCTTTTTGTCTCCTGCAGAAACAAGCATACCGCAACAAACACCTTCCCTGGTTTCCATTATGATGTTAAAACATCCTTGTAATACACAGGCTGAATCAATTCTGCAGTTAAGTCCACAATCCAATGCCTTTCAGCAGCTGTTGTCCCTGTTTAATTAGCATTTAATTTTTCTTAAATTAGTAAAGCATTATGCAACCTCTGCTGGGTGTCCTCATATCTCCCTTCTATTTAAAAACGATCTTTTTACAGTACAATAGATCTTTCAACAATTGCTGTCCTGTAGAATGATACAGTATTTCTGTAATGTATTTTATGTTATAACATGCAGAAATATTGTTTTATTTTTGAAAACATAAGAGCATTTCAGTTTTAATTTGTATTGCTAGTCCTACTATATCCATTGCTTTCAGTAACTGTGTAATTATATAATCAACCTTTACAAAACTCAAAAGCAGATGTCCATTGAAATACACAGTATGTATCACTGGCATGATGGATAAATTTTAATTTCTTAAATTTTGTTAAATGAAATAATCCATTTACCAGTTTTAATTTTTTGTGTACCTTTAGGATTACTTTCTGCAGGTAAAGGAACATGCTTATACAAAGAACAAGGAGGGCAAATTTTAACTTCTTTAGCTTGTTGCCAGGTAATGAAAAAAAAAAAGAATTTAAGCCATTGCTATTTCTTTTTGTTGAATTTTTTGTTTGTTTTGCTTTGTTTTGTTTTGAGACATGGCTTCTTTGTGTAGCCTTAACTGTACTAGAAGTTGTTCTGTAGACCAGGCTGATCTTGAACTCACAGAGATCTACCTGCTTCTGCCTCCCAATCGCTTGGATTAAAAGCAAGTGCCACCTCTGCATAACATAAACCTTTACTATTAAATTAACATGATGTTTATGATGTATTAAAATTTGTCTTTCAATAATTGATCATTTTCTTCATTCTGTTTGCTCATGGCCCAGATAATCCAGTATGAGAATGGATATGTGTTATGTATGATGAATAATTTCTGTCCTAGATTGCTTGTTGCAGTTACATGAATAGAAAAGTTAATTCTGAATTATCGCGAAGAAGTTTTACAGGTTCCATATGTAATATAATCCTTGTATATTGAGAACCAATAATTATATTAAGAGGTACATTAAAATTGAATAAAGGCCATTGAAATAACATATAACTGTGATCTTTGAACTGAAGCATACAGACTTTGAATGACCTTACTTATATTTCCTGCTTTATAACCAGCCATTCCTAATTTGTGTCAGTTTAAAATGCAAGAGCCCAGATAAAAGTGCTTTTTTTGTTCTAACTATGTGGGGGAAGAATCCACCATTCCATTCTTTTTATATATTGATGTCACTTACTTATGAGCTATTTGTTGTTAATTTCCCCTAAGAAATTGCTACAATCTCTTTGTCAATCACGGCTAATCACCTTCATTCACAATTGCGTAATTTCAGCATTAGTAAGAACAATAACATCACAGCTGAATCCATTCCAGACAATTAATGAAGTCTTATTCTTCCCCTTTATAATTAATTTAGATACTTTTATATAGGCTTTTAATGTTTCACTCTTTTTATTTGATTAAAAAGATTATTCTAAATTATTATCCTCCCTTTGCTTAATGAGTCCAGTAGGGAATGTATAGAAAATAGAGTAACTAGAGTACTATTGGGAGATCTAATCTTTCTTCATAGGCATTTTCTGATTTCTGTTCTACTTGAGCCAATTCCCTTTCTACTCTACCTGTTAATTGCTTTGGAGTGTTTAAATCCAAGTCACCTTATAAAATTTGAAACAATTTAGTTAATTTTTGAGTAGTTAGTCCAGTGGTAGGCCACACCCAGTTACTATCACCTAATAACTTCTGAAAGACATTAAGAGTGTGCAGTTGGTCTCTTCTGATATGTACTTTTTGTGACTGGATTTTCTGTTTCCTTCATTTAAGTCTTACAGAATTAAGAGAATATCAGGAGCAATCTTTAATCCCCAACAAGGCAAAATCCTTTGTACTACATTAAACATTCATTCTAAGGTATCTGTATCAGAAGAAGCCAATATGATATCATCCTTATAATGGTAAATAATAGATTTAGGAAATTGTTGATAAATCATTTTCATTGGTTGATGTACAAAATATTGATACAGACTAACATTCTTTGAGGATGGACTTTCTCTCTATATATGTATCTCTTTACAGGCTGGGCATTATTATAAGTAGCCACTATGAAAACAGATTTCTATCTATCTTATTCTTGCAAAGGGATGGTGAAGAAACAAGCTTGTATATCAATACTGTAATAGGCCAGTCTTAGGTAATAAAGAAGGTAAACGTATTCCAGGATGTAAATATTCTGTAGTTTGAAATACTTATTTACACCTCTCAAATCAGTTAACGTTCTCCATTTCCAGAAATTTTTTTATTACAAATACAGGATATTTCCCAGAACTAGCAGTTTCCTCACTATGTTTAGTATCTAACTGCTCTTTAACTAGCTGCTTAACTGCATGTAATTTTTCTTTAGTTAAGGGGCACTGCTTCACCCATACAGACTTATTAGCTAACCATTAAAAAGCAGAGCAGTGGGGCTAGAGAGAGGGCTCAGAGGTTAAGAGCATTGCCTGCTCTTCCAAAGATCCTGAGTTCAATTCCCAGCAACCACATGGTGGCTCACAACCAACCATCTGTAATGAGGTCTGGTGCCCTCTTCTGGCCTGCAGGCATACACACAGACAGAACATTGTATACATTTTAAATAAATAAATTAAAAAAAAAAAAAAAAAGCAGAGCAAGCCGGGCAGTGGTGGTGCACGCCTTTAATCCCAGCACTTGGAAGGCAGAGGCAGGCAGATCTCTGTGAGTTCGACACCAGCCTGGTCTACAAGAGCTAGTTCCAGGACAGGCTCTAAAACCACAGAGAAACCCTGTCTCGAAAAACAAAACAAACCAAAAAAAAGTGGAGCAGTGGCAGTGGCCCCTACTCCAAATTTGTATAGCCAATTTCTGCCTTGTCCTGCTGCTGGACAACCTGTATAGTCTGTGACTTTCCTTGATAATTCTTTCCAATTCTTTTTCCAGTAATATTACCCATTTTAACATCATTTTATGAGAAGTTTATGAAATTGTAAAAATAATAACTTGAGTTTCTCACTGTAGCATGAGTTCTAATTGGCATTCATAATAAAAACCCAGAGTCAGATAAATAGGGGTGATAACTGAAAGATCAGAGAAGCAAAGCAGCCAGCTACTAGAGATCTTACCTCTGCAAAATCCTCAGACTGAAAAGAGACCAAGCTCTTGTTTCCTTACACCTTGGATGTCTCTCTCTGCCCAACCATATCATATCCTGTCTGTCTGTACAGGTCTTCAGACTGCAATGGTTACTGTAGAAAGAATGTTTGAAGAAAAGTTTGCCTTGTTGGAGATTACAAATTGCTCCTGAAAAA